ATTTTCGCAATACTGAAAAACCTGCGAAGGTTATAAACTTCATCAAGTTGTGATTATTTGTTATGTTTGTTACGAATGTTTTGGAAGTGAAACAAAGTGAATGTATCCGAAGGTCAAGGCTATCTAAAGAGTGAGAAGTCATCAGTTTTATGACCTTCATTTCACAGGTACACAATTATTTCGAGAGATACAAATGTTTTCTATGTGCTTCTGTTAAATATATTAATTATCACTCGTGGTTTTTTTCTGTGCCTATGAAAGCAACCGTATAAAACCCGTATACGACTTCAACGTATAAAACTCACCTTATCAGAATGATTAGTAAATAGTAGATATTAGGCACGGAAAATGTGTAAGTCCATTATACTGTGAAGTCTGTTCCGAAACTTCACAAACAATTTTGAGTTCTTTGAGTGAATGGTGAATGTTTGAAAGAGGTACAAAGCTGAAGTTTAGTCAAGCTAAAGAAGACATTGAATAATCAACTACTGGCATATATAAATTTTTTGCAGGTGCAATGATTTTCGACAGTTATTAATGGATTTGCATAACCGCAAACGCTACAATTTAGGTGGAATGAAACAAAAAACCGAACAACAACTAACAAATAATGGAGAATAGTTAAATTTAGGATTGCAGCAAAGCAAACCAAACTGTAACAGTCCATCTTAACAAGTGAAGTGGCTGAAACCTCAATGTAAACTCAAGAGGTGATGTCGGGGTTATTCTCATTGCCTCACTAATCATTATGCAGGCTAGTCTCTGCATAAACTACGAAAGTTTATCTATCACAGTCATTTGCTGAGCTTTCTTGTAAGAGATGGAGGATCAATATGTAACAATTAATCTAGCAATAGATGTGTACATCCAGTGACTGAGTTTAAGACTGAAGTTCCAGTGTTTGTTAATGAGGTTCCTAGTACTTTACTTGGCTTACAGCTGATTCTTGAGAAATAGGAACAAATAAAAATCGTCTGGATGGAGTCAATGATGGAAGGTCACAAAGCACCTACGAAGCATACCAAACAGGTTATTCATTACTTCATTTTTACGTGTCAAGCCGTTCTGCAGAAGACTGTTAAGAAAAAAACACGACAGTTCGGCTCAAGAGTACTTTATTTAAACAGAGAGAGCAATATTGAAAGCAAAATGTATAAAATAAAATAGAGTTGCACAGAATTGCGTTTTTTATCACTACTTTACCTAATATTTTTAATTTATAGCTTTAAATAACATTTATGCCACCAAGAACAACATATATACAACGCCTGTTCCTGAGTCTTTTTCCACAAAAGTTAACTCTTTGAGTTAAAAAGAGTTAACTCTTTGATTGCATCGGAATTTAAAAACAACATATATATATATATACAACGTCTATTTTGAAGTAGTTCGTCAAAGGTCTAAGACAATCCAAATGGACCGTAAGGGTCAACAACAAAGAATGCTAACAGATTTGATAGGCTTAATAATACAGGATTTCAGTTAATGCTTGCTTTCTGAAATAAATGTGGTTCTGTTAATCACCACAGATTACAGAAAGCTGACTTCCAATAATATACACAGTCCACTTTATCTGCTTAGTGGTAAGCCATTTTGTTATAATAATTGAGTTCGGGGAATTGAACTGTTTGACAAGCACCACAAATACATCCTTGGAATTATTATTTCTCTTCATTTCAAAGAAAATATTCAATAATAATAATGAATATTGTTTATGAAACCCAAATAGTTTTCGACAATGTCAGACAAAGCAATAAATTTCTAAGATATTTTTTCCAATTTAGCATAAAACTGGAGTAAAATTTTGAATATTGAACGCAAGACAATCCCTTGCCACCCCAACTTACTGAAATTGTTGCTATAATTTGGCCAATTGCACTGGAAAAATCAGTTGCAATGGAAGCAAAAGAAGAGACACACATATAGGTATCTTGGCATCCGTGTCCTCTTGAAGGTAGGTGTGCAAATGTAGATATATGTTAGAATGCAAGTATAATCGAATACAATGCCAATGGGAGTTGGAAATGGGAAGTGGGAAGTGGGAGTGGATCCACTAACAAATTGAAATTCAACACACGCAATTGTCGGTGACAAATGTAACAATTTCCAAATGTTGTAAGCGAATAATAAAATGGAGAAAATATAAAACAGAAAATAAAAGGGACAATAAAACGAAAAAGCAAGAATAGAAAAATATACAAAAATAGCAATAACAAATTTACTCCACAAACAACTGTGGTTCCGGAACAACTAAACTATTTTTGTCGATGAGGAATGCAATTAAATTTGAATCGCACCCGAGACTTGTTGCACGGGACATTGTTGTGTCAGTAGTGTAGATGCAGCTACTGTTAGAGAGGTTATGGGTCCTCGTGATGATGCGCTTAGATTGAGTCGTGCTGCATATTAAACTTTTGCGTGTAAACGGGGATAAGTTAATTAGCAGAGAGTGATTTGCATGCGGAACGCCGCCCGAAGGCTGCCGTATTGCATATAAATGTGGAACGAGATGTGCTCGTTGGCCGGCAGATTTTATATTTTATGTTTGCTAAGCAATTTGAGTAACCTTGTGCATTTCCTTTAATCTGCCACAGTTGCTGCGATGGCATACACACATTGTACTAGTAGACGTGTTGAACTTTCAACTAAACCATCTGGTTGCTGTTTTCATTTCCTTCCGGTTGCAAACGCGCGCCATCATGTATGCAACCACCGACACGTGTGCCAGGCAATAAGCGTACACTGAATTTCGATTTTTGCCATCTTCCATTATGTATTTTTGTTTTTTTTTCCGAAAGCAACTATTTCTGGTCTTTTCCAAAGAAAAATTAAAAAATTTGAAGTGAATTAACCAGAGCACGTAACAGATACACGTACTTTTGCTTGTGTGTTGCTACAAGACAAACATGGACCGAAATCGAACTCCGCAGAAATGAAGCAAACAAAGTCAATCGAGTCAGAAGTAAAAATTTCCAACTCATCGAAAGCCACTAGGCAGTCATTATCGTTGATAGTGAAGTGAGTCTGTTACAAATTTATGCCAATTCTTTGTACGAGTCAAAATCAATATATGAAAAGAAAGTTGGTTGGTTGGCATTAGCGGTGGTAGACCTACCTCTTCTGTTCAAGTATATGCAGTATTTTGTTACCATAGGCCTGCTCAAAATAGTCTTAGATTTGAATCCAACTTGCTCGGTGGATTACTAAAGATGCGATATCCGCCAGGCTCATTAGTTCGTAGACTGCCATAGAGTCCATTTTGACAAACCTGGTTATTGGCAAATTTAAACCAAACATCTACAGATATCAAAAAGTAGTGACTTCACTGAGATGCATAAAAAAACAGTGAGGACCTCAACTTGAAATCGCTTGATACAGTAATTAATTATAACTAATTATTGTTTTATAAAAACTTGGCATATTCACAGTATACAGGTTTCATTGTAAAGAAAAATCTGACATGTCTGAATCTCTTGTTGACTTTACTGTATATGGATCAGACCTATTACATTTTATGCAGTTTATGTTTGACGAAGCAAAGCTTGACACTGCGATCGTAATTAAAGTAGTAAGTTACAAATGTTTGCTTATACGCTATGTATGGCGGGAACTATATATATCTATTCCATAACAACTCTAAAGTGCATAGTAGGTCTTACCTCTGGGTATCTCTTTGTTAAAGAACGGCTATTTTAAGTTAATTTCGACTTTATCATGCGTGAAGAGTTTGACATCTAAACATCTCATCTAACGTCTCATTTAATGAAGGTGCCAGGTCCAAATACTGGTTCCTGGAAAGATACTGCTACATGCAACATAGATATACGATATGGTGTAAAGATAAAATTAAATGCCCTCTATCGTGATCGTACGAATTAAAGAAACGGAACCTTTGGTTTAGAACCAATATTGATTTTGTAGTACACAGAGGGTACAAAAATTTCAGAAGTTGGGAAATGAGTTTAATCCTCAGCAACTACAACTCGTTTTGCTGGTCCATTACCTTTTAAGCAGTGGTTCATTTTATTGAGGAAGTGATAGTGATCTCACTAAAAATTTTTAAGGCCTTCAGAAGTTGTTCTCCAGAAAGTGATCTACAAGAATTGTGGTAGAATGCTATGACATGCTGCGAACAGAAAACATAAATCAATAGCAACAAGTACGCAGACAATCTCGAAATTATTGGATTGACTATTTAGTTTTATTGTAATATAAATTGATTCACAACAATGTTTCCGATAAAAAAAAAACAGCTGTTTATAATCAGGACAAGTGATTACTGGCGTAACATTTAACCAACTTTACAGAGTTACAGAGCAATTTCTTTCTTACAACTCTGATATATATGATTGTTAAAAACTGAAAATCATTGCGATTGAATACATTTATGGTACATCAAAGGATCTGATGTTATGGGCAGGTAATCAAAGACAATTATATCCTATATTACCATCTTAACAAGTTGTACCCGGTTAAGAAATGCAACTTCACAGCAAAGGACTTATAGAACTCCATTCAAAACATATGAATCCGGAGAGAAGGTTGACACCATATTTAATACGGCAGCCATGTATAAAATAGGTATTAGCAAAGACCTGGAAATCAATGCGGAGCACCTTCATGGCAACCTGTTCAACCCACCCAACTAAATACATTGTAAGCATAAAAATTAATTATTGAAGTTTATGTCGGCTGATTATAATTTAATATATATAATATTTGTAGTTTATATATGTTTCATCATCGTTATCAGTTCAAAAAAATTTCTTAAGGCGTTCCTATATGAAAATTCAGTTTTGATAAAAAGCATCTAAAATAAAAAAGTGCCTTCACGCTTTTAAAAATTATTTAAATTTGAGAATTCATTTCTCAATAAGTCACTATCATGGACGTCATACTAGGGTCGCTAATTAAATTTCTTCTTCTTGTGAAGCACAACTCGATTTTTATTATTAGTATTGAAGTCATTCACCCAAAAATTCGTTTTTCTATTTCAAATTTTTAGTTTTATTAAATTTGAGTTTGAAATGTACACATAAAATTTTTGCTTAATTTCGAGTTTAGGAAGGAGCTAAGACATAACTATTTTTCTTTTTCCTCGTAATCAGTAACCAGATTTCGTGTTATAAAAGGCGATATCACTTTAAGCCAGCGAAGTCTCCGGAACATCTTAGAAAATTGAAGATCTACAAGAGCCAATAAAAAGTAAACCGTTATGTGAGTATAGACTTTAATTACATACATTCAACTTACCATGTCACTACTTGGTGAATCCATCCTAAATCCATATTCTAATATGGATAGAGCTATGATATTAGAAATTGGAATTCATTAACACCACAATGCTTATCACTATAATTCTTGACATTTGATACAGGGTCACCTTCCTACTTTACTGTTGCGGAGATAATGACTGGTAGTGATAGTGCTTTGCTGTCACTAAAGCCAATCTAGATCAGTTGTCCTGAATTTTGTTGTTGGATCTTAAAAGTTTACCCTTATACGATAATTGATAACAAATAATATCAGGTATCGATTTTTTAGTGAAAAATTTACTTACCCTACTATCATTTTAAGCAAACCAAGTGCTAGGTCTAAAGATATTAAGAAATTGTAAAATAATCCAACTTAAAATTTGGAAAAAACCACCCTGATTTTGATTAGTCAATGCTAAGTTTACCGCTTCTGCTTGGATATGTTCAGATGAATTCTCATCATCAACAATCTCATCGTCATAAGATTCCATTTTCTTTCTGCGCCTTCTCTCTCTGTCTGCATCTATTCTTATTTGAGATCTTGAACGTCTCATTCTTTTTGGTTCTTGTTCAGAATTTGAGGTGTGGCTGCTGCTTCTATTCAGTCTTCTTGATGAACGCTTTTCCACTAACGTGCCGTCGGAATCAAGTTTTGTTGTTGATTTTGATTTCTTAGGTTTGTGTGTGTGTTCCTGTTCTGATTCTTCTTCCATACTATCGTAATCAAGTTTTGTTTTGGATCTAAATCTCTTTTTTTTTGGTTCTTCAGATTTCATAATATCACTGTTTTTTCGATGTAACATTCTTGAAGAACGTTTATCTGGTACTGTATTATCGGAATCAAGTTTTGTTTTGGATTTTGATTTATGTTTCTTCATCGCATCTTCAGAATCCATGTCATTATTTCTTGCATGTAGTTTTTTTGATGAACGCTTTTCAACTAAAACATGTTCCAAATCAGGACCCATCAAACCACTATCTTTTTTATTTAATTTTTTCGATGAATGTTTTGCTGTGACCATTTTTTCTGACGATTCTGTATTACATATATTTTTATATATTTATAAAAAATTTTAAGAATTCTCATTTATTCTCATTTACAAGTTTAGTTCAGTCAAATGGACATATAGTCACGTATTAGATTTTTGTATGTATCTATTAGAGAAAATGCTATGATATACATAGCTCTATTAACATGATAAAGTATTGAAGAGAATGCAATTGTTGTTTTTACTTCCTATCGGAATTTAAATTGTCTATTGTACTAAACTCTTTTGTTTCAGCCAATTCTTAAGCTTTCGCAATTCTTTGTGTATGTTATGTGAGAAGTAACGAGTCTCTCTCTCTCTCCAATACTCAAAGAGACTTAAGACTCCAAGATAAGCGAATATTACACATGAGATTTTTTTGTCAAACTTTTTTGTGGAATGCGAAAATTGTACCAAATTTGATGAGTAATAGTAACATTTGAAATGTTTACAAAAAAGTTTGATGAAAATCAAAAAGTTTTGAGTTTTCCCCTAAATGGCTCGTGATTTTCGTATACAATCAGACTTTTGTCGACTTATAGCCGCACTTTTAGATGATTTTGACAAGGCCATCAATTGGCTTTTCCAATTAAAAATTTAAATATATAAAAAAGTGTAAATGAAATGAGTTAAATTTTTATAAAAAATTGTTTTCTTCGCAAATGATTGATGGTACTTACTCCTTCTAGAAGTTGTGGCGGCTTCAAAATCGTCGTCATCATCTTCAGCAAGATTTGCATTGTATCGAGTGAATTTCTTAAACTTCATGTTTAAGTAGTTTCGATGCAGAACTAATGAAATTAATAGCTATAACTCTTTATAGCTCCTTCCTATTCCTAAATACCAACAAAAAAAGTGTTACTGAGTTTTGAAACAAAAAAAAATATGTAGATATTGATATAAAAAAATATATCATTACTAAATTATAATCATAGAAAATTTGAAAATCATAGCTTACTGATTTAATAATGATACTGCAGTAGTTGTAATTAGTTCTGTAATAGAATTCGGACCTTAAAATATGTTTATACTATGAGTTTAAAACAGGAGTATAAAAAATCGAGTTGCTTAAGTCAGTCTTTCTCAATCGCCAGGTCGCGAACAGCAGGGCTTATGTAAAATATTATGGATATTAAATTATATACATTATAATATAATTCATCAGTTATAAGTGTCAAAGAGAACTATCATTCAAGACATGATATATTTAGGTCCACGTTAAAGTTTGTCGATTTACAATATGTATGGTCTAACAATCGCTGAACTGACTAGAATTATGAAAGCTTCCTATAAAAATGGTGTCGACTTTTCTTCAGTGATGGGACTAATTTTTTGCTTGATGGATCAACAATTAAAATTATCTTATCTGGCCCTATGTAAGTTCACCAGAAAGTATCAAAGGATTTCATTGTATAGACATAAAATCAGTCTATGGTGTGGTGTTTGATCTGGATGTGTGCTAGACCCCTGCTTTTTTGCAAATGCCAATACTCAATTCTGACTTGTAATTGATGATACTTTATGTCGCACAAAACGTACAGTACAGGTCTGGTTAATTACGTGAGAAGCTTCTCGAACGGATAATTTCACGATCATATATACTTTTAATTCATCAAGATTTGGTTATAGCTGCCAAGTATGTACCGACAAGTTAACGAAAAATGCTTTGAAAAACCATTACTTTAAAATGTTTTAGAGAAGATAGTTAAGTATAATATTAATACTAGTAAGTAATAGTATTATTAATAATATTAATAATTATTTATCAAAATCTTGATTAAAAGAGTGTTTAATTTTCATAATTTTCAATTTGATTTTATCCATAAAATGTATAATATATGCAAGATTTTTGGCAAATAAACATATACAATACTAATAATAATATTATTAATTCATTATTCCTTTTTTCTTATCAACAATTCACAACAATATTTGGTACATATCCTTTGAGACATATGATCTGAAGAAATAAAGTAGAATCAAATAAAAGAAATAAAATAAAAAGTTGTTGGTTCAGAGAGACAGAGAGTAAAGAAAACAAAGAAAGCAGAGAGTTTCTGACTTCAGAGCTTGTGACTGCATTACTGAGATTAGCAGTGACATTCTTCTTCCAAATTATTGAGATGTTTCACAAAGAAATTTATTCGATGTTGAGGTGTACCTTATAGGCAGTATTTACATTATACTGGTAGTGTATTTTTGTGGTTGTATGAAAACTGACTATTGCTGTACTCTTGATTCTACTTTGATTCTACTCAATCAAATAAATTTCTTTTATTATTATTCAAATAATGATAAAAGCTCTTAAAAATAAAAATCTTCTGGTAGTTATGATATTACTAATCTCTTTACGAAAAGCTTATAAATATGTGGTATTAAATACTTAACTGCAATAAACAGCAGCCACTATAACAATATTTGTAATCAAAAATATAGGTAGTTTATCCATCCTAGACCTAATATATACATTTCATCATCCAATAAGATTGTACAAAAAATGTTTAGAGATATAATAACACTTATATCCACTAAAAAAATAATCTTAACAACAGTTTATTTTTGATAACGGTTATTGCTTATTCAAAAAGTTGTCACTTGCATCAACCCACCCACAGCTTCGGCTGTCCTGACTAATTAAGGTTGACAGTTTCGTCGTGGGTGTGATTTAGACCCGAATTTATACGGGAAGAGTGATTTTATTTATTTACTTCCATTCGGTATGGAATTGTGTTTCACACTGAGTTTTGTAATCCAAAGATCAGCTTAGGTTCGTTAAATACATAACTTCAATTGGTGCCGACGGAATTCCGTGGAATTCCAATTGGGTGTCTCTCGACGTATTATCTTAGACGTGCCGATAGACGTCCCATACGTGTGTCTAGAGCATCATAGTGTTGAGCCAATGAGGCAGGGAATCACGTAAAATACTCTGGATATCTATATAATAACCACACTGTTGATTTTTCCCTTTTCGGTAAAGTTTTTCAAGGGATACCTTTACATCAACTACTTAACTAAAAATGGAGATTACACTTATGTCTGCAGAACAATATTTTCTAACGTGGAAAATCATAAAAACATTGTTCTTAAGTCTTCACTCAAAGTTCTATAAATGCTTATTACTATTATAAAATGTAGCTCGTGAAACAGACCTAATAATTCAATATAATATATCACAGAATTACAAACTGTTTAGAAAATAAGAATAGAATTTTTTTGAGTATTTTATTGATTAAATTTTAAATGTGCAATTAACAATAAATTAAAATTTAATAATTAAAAATGTGAAGTAGTTGTAGTTTAATTTTGTTTTTTTTTTGTGCTTAAGTATTGTTTTAATTTCTTTCAGGAACTTACAAGACACATCCAACTAATTTATTTCAACTCATATAATTATTATGGAGCTGAAGTAAAAATATTGGATAAAAATCATTTAAAAATATGAAATAAATTAATTTATGCGTCACCAAAGTAAGATTTAAATTAAATTTGAGTTAGAAGTTTTCTTCTTCTTCAAATTGAATCTTGAACTAAAAAAAAGAAATTAAAACTACAAAATGATCGAAAATGAAGTGTTCTTTGTGTATTTTGAGTGTTTGTGAGGTGTGATAGTGTTAATTTGTTATAAGAAAATTTATTTAAATGTGATCTGCAGAGAATTTCAGATAAGATGTATAATTCTCTATAAACATAGGTGCAACTACTTGTGCAGCGATGAATGTAGTTATAATTGTGATAATTGTTGGTCCAATACCGGCAAGCATCTAAAATGCAAAAGTTCAGTCAATTTTTATATATAATATTTAATAAGAATTTGTATTTACCATTTCTTTGGCTCGTACATTGCCATACCCAGCAGCAATAGCATTCGGAGGTGAACTGGCAGGCAAGTGGAAGGCCATACTCTGGGCAATTGTTGTTGGCAGCATAATATACAATGGATGACAATCAATAGTTTGGGACTGAAAAAATTATATTAATTTATTATTTTTTATTTACATATATTTATATATAAAAATACATACTTAATAAGGTAAATTCTTTTTTATATAGTAATTTATAATAAATTCAATTCAAAGAGAATATAAATCTTTGTATTAGGAAAAATATAATCATTTTAGAGAAAAAGTTCATTTTTAATATTGAAGGAAATTCATCCCTTATAGATTCCTTATAGATTAATAATTATTATTGTAGATTAATAATTTGTAACTTAATGAAATAACTAAAGACTAAAGTCAAAGCAATTGCCAATTTTAGTTTCGAAACTAGCAGAATTTTGTATGAACTTTTTAAAAATTAGATAATGAAAACGAACTCTGTTGTAAGAAATAAATTACATACAAGATCGCTTTAAGTATTGACTTTAAAGCTAAAATAACACTTTTCGTAAATAATAAGGTTGGATATTTTTTGTGCAGAATATTTTTTGTGAATACATATTTATATATATATATGTCATTATAATTTTAAATAACCCAATATTTACTTACCAATTGTGCAATTGTTGGCATTAATATAGCTCCCATACCAGAGTTAGCAGTTACAGACGTAAAGATCACTGCCACAACTATACAAACACCTTGAGCCATAGCTTGAGGCATGTCCCCAAATTTAGCATATAGATTATAGATTTGAACAGATAAACCGCTGGATTTCATAGCCTCACAAATAGCAAAAGCGGAACCTAAAAATAATAAAAATTAAAAATAAAACCATTAAGAAATTATATAATATGGTGATATAGACAATACCATATTTCAAGAAGAGTTATATACAAGTCGTGACAGATATTGACATTTTCAGATTTAAATGGCAAAGATAGTTAAACTGTTATCATTCGGAGAACGAAGTACTGAATGCAACACTTTTTAAAAATAATCTTATATCATCTATCTTATAATTGACATATCTTACTGTTTATAAAAGTACTGAAAGTGAGACATTTCATATTTTTACATAGCACTTCGTTCAAATAGTAAATAATAATATAATAATATTCATATTTTAAAAAATAATAGATTATTAGTATTAATAATAGCTGATTTTCTACTAGATATGTGGTAATTGAAACGCCACTCAGGGATTTACAACTAATTAAAGCTTCAACCTAATATTTTGCTAAGTGAATTCCATCAGATTTATTAGAAATACTTTAATACCATTTAATACCATTTGTGGTATTTGTCAGAAAGAGCAGTTGGCTTAGCTTTTTTTGCCTCTAAAATTCCAAACTTTGGAAAAAACTAAAGATGACGATTTTTCATGTTTGAAAAAAATTCAAAACGACAATTGAAGACATATTAAAGCTTGAAGGATCTCAGCTATTTTGTTACTTCTTAAAGTTACAAAGTACAATCCATCATCATGGGCTGGAAAATGTGATTATTCTTCTAGCCTGCGAATTTGTAAAAATTGGGCAGTTGTGAATATTCCAGCAGGACGAGCTGTTAAGTTAGTTACTGACTTCAACCAAGCCTTAACATATGATGAGAAAGGTATCCATCTTATACTATATTTTGGTTACTAAGCCGAAAACATGATGAATTTCATAAATTAGAATAGTAAAACAAACAAAATATTGTATAAATAACATAAATTAGTCAAACATTTTCTTAAAATAAAACTATTAGTAACTATTAGTACATTTAATGATTTTTTCCATTTATATAGACACACATTTGGGCTCAACTTAACTCGCAGAAATATGAAAATCAAAAGAAAAATTTTTTCATACCATAAATGACCAGTCTAGTGTCTACTAAGTACTTTCATAGGTCAGATGTGCCTTGTATTTTGTTCTTTGCAATATCATATGTTTCAAATAATAATTAAGTAATAATTACAGTTTTTAATAGATACTAATAAATTTGTGTACCATGGCTTAAAAACAAATATTTTATATTTACCAACTACAAGAAACATTCCCCATGGTAGTTGAGAATGAACTACTTTCCATGTCATTAGAGACGCCAAAGTTCCTTCGGGATTTGGTCCTATTAAAAAAAATTAATCAATTAAATAAATCCTATTCAATAATTACGTCAAATTCAAATTACTTTTACAAAGGCAATACTTGAAGAAAGAATAATTAACCGGTATCATAAACAACAATGCAACAATCAACATTACGGGTACGGAAAGTAGTATCTGTCTGCAGAAAAAAAAAGATTAAAATCATCCAGTTATTTAGCAGAAAAGAAATCCTACTTTTTATTTAAAATTTCTGCCCAGCCAGCCATAAAGCCTGGTTTACGTGTGATCGTTGCAACAATCCAAATAATTATCAAAACTAAAACCTGAAACTCATGGCAGGACATTGAACCATTTTCAGTTTGTTTATTTTTAACGGAATTTTTAAAAGCAGCAGCCGCCTCAGGAGTAGTAGCCGCCTTTACATCGTCACCGCCAGTATATATCAGCATTAACCATACATATGTGAAAATCAGGTTAAGAATAAAGGGTAGCAAGGATATGATAAGGAAATTAACGAAATTAATGTCATCGCTTTCTGGAAAGGTTCTAAAAATAAAAACATAGGCTTTTAGATTTAAACAATAGAAAAGTTAACATTTTTTTTAATTTACGATTCGTAAACTCCCACGAACATGATGTTCGTATCAGTTCCAATCAGAGTAGTTGCACCTCCAATCGAAGCGGCATAAGCTACACCCATGAATAAACCAATAGCAATCTTTGAGGGAAATGGTGGACTATGGTATGGAAATGGTAGTGAATGATTAAATTTAAAAACATATATTAATAATGAAAATAAACTTAACATACTGAGTTTCAAATTTCACTTCTTCGTCTGTAATAACCTTAAGGCTTCCTTGCTAAGAATTTAAATAAACAAATAAATAAAATAATGGAAAGATAGATGAATAAACATCTACATCTAAAGTATAAAAAAGACTTACACCGGCCATATCATCTAATAGTGCACGTAAAATTACAGATGCTATAGCGGCAGCGCCGGCATTTGGAATCCACATCGACAAAATTGCAGTAAAAATCATAAAAATAAGCAATATCCTTTACAAATGCAAAAATATTTTTATCAATTAGGAATAACAAATCAATGTATTATATAGAAAATTAATTAAAAAAATTACATACGCTTTTGGACTTTGGGAAGATTTTGACAACATCCACAGACCAATGCGATTACTCAATAAACTGTGCTGCAATCCTAATGAAACTATGTAGCTAGCAAAGAACCACATGGTGGAGTCTTTTAAATAAGCCATACACACTGGTTTATTATCCTGCGTTAAAAATTATTAGCATTTATATATAGTTAATTAGCTAAAAATGTGTACCATTATTCCTAGAAGTGGGAAAAAAGCTATTGGTATCATAGCAGTTCCCGCAGCTGGAATACACTCGGTTATCCAATAAACAGCCATTATTAATATGACATACAAGCACTTAAAAGCCTTAAAAGAGATGAAAATATTATATACAGTGGTGTATATGGTTTCATAAATGGATGATATATGTTACTCATACATATATGATTAATCTAAGTGTAGAGGTTACTTTCATGCAATACTTTGTTAAATCAGGACAGTAGTTTTTAATTTTTTTTTTTATATTTGAAGTATTATTTGTGGGGAGAACTATACACTGCGATTCACATTATCTATTGCGCTATCCTCAGCTGTTTCAGCCGATCGTTAAGATCGGAACGCCGTAGACGGGTTTATATTGTGCCATATGGAATATATCTGTACGTATTGGTAATATAATGTTTTTACATAAAAGTTTTAGCTTTTTATCTACATAAAATTTCTGTTTTTTTCATAACGTTTCTTCATCTGTCACATACTTTCTAAAATAATTTACTCTAATCATATGCGGCTACAATGTCACTCTGAGAAGCTCAACAAATCTTTTACAATTCTTAAGTATTTTATATATTAACTTCTCATGTTATTTAAGATAATACTTTAAGAGTAATATGAAATGGAAAATTACTCAATAATCCAAAATTAGTTCCAACACTAAGAACCACTTTTTCAAATTTTCTATTATGCTATTTATATATATATTAATAATAAAGTATCTAAATTATCAAAGTGTACTCACGGCACGTGGTGTCTTAAAACAAATTGGCAAGAAAATTAAAGGTGTTAAGAAGATCACCCATCCACGCCAATGAAATTTGCAGCATAATTTCATCCGCTCTCCGAAACCCAACTCACGCTCTTCATCATCTGTGGAAAATCTTTTCAACGCGCTAGCCATTTCTGTGAATTGCTATAATCTTCAGCACTTCTTTCCGATAACAAACTCTTGTCTGAGAAAATAAATTTATATTTTTTTTGATTTTAATTATGAATATAAGTTTTTAAAAATTTTCAAAGCAAACTAGACACACTTTAAACTAAAAAAAACAAAAACTGATAGTTATTATAAGGCATTAATTTGTTATTATTTGATTAAAAACGTCAAAGCTACTCCTTTGAATAGAAAAAGTGATAATTGTTAGAAATTTAAAAATTATTTAATTTTATTTTAATTTTAATAACTTTTTAATTTTTTTACAATTAATAATGAATTCAAGCTAAGTCCTTTAAGAACTTAAAAATATTTTTTTCAGTGATTAACCATCATTTTGTCGGCGCTTCGCCGGTGGTGCTTGAGTATGTTGGCGTTACGTCGGGAAGTACTATCTCAATGCATGAAGCAGCGGCCGATCCGTTTGCATGAGCATGAAAGAATGAGATATTTGCTAATTTGGAATGTAATGCAGTCGGATAGAAGTGTGATGCATTGTGGACTTGAGTTTGTAGCCACTGAAATGAATATGAGCCCATGAAGTTGACGAAACTCTAGTCTGCTAATTGGCGACCAAATTAAAAATAAAATTCATCCAATGATTAATTATTGGCTCATCATGTTTTTTTTAATCATTCACATATTTGAGGAATTTCTTGAAGGTCCATCACCTTTTTTTGTAAAAAGCTGTGTGTATTCAATCTTTTACACAATGTCTGCACTCTAACTCTAACTTTAACACTCTAACTCTAACTTAGTAAAATATCTATTGTCATCCAGTTTTGGATGCAATAAAGTGTCAGACATGCTTGTATAGAATACACACATATTTTAGACATACAGCTAAGGGTTTAGAACTATGTTATTACGTCAATGCATCTTTGTGGCAAACCCATTTTAGTCTCATAGACGCGTAGCAGATAAAAATACCATAATATCCCTTGGAGACATGTTGCTTATTTCCGTTATAAGTGGATAGGCAGTTGATAAGTACCGAAGCCTGAGTCTGGCGAGACTATCACACACAGAGTGTGTTCTATTATTTCCTCTTCTTCTTGACAAAATCTGCAGCTAACGTTACTTGTAATACCTGTGATAAGTCGGATCCATTTACTGTTTAGCATTAGTAGCTCCTTAGTTCTGGCCTTTAATCGATTCGGCATGAATTCTTTAATTCCTTTGTAGACAATTGCATTATCCCAATCAGTCTTAGCTGCTTTTTCCAGTTATTCATTAATTTTAAGTTTGAAAAAGCTCCATGAAGAAACGCAAAATGGTTTTGGTCCAATAGAATATGAGGCCGCGTTTTTTCTGGCTTAAATCCACTGTATCCTTCGATCCTTGTTTAGTGAACCCTGTTCGTTTCAGCAAGATTTTAGAGAAGGTGAAGGCATTTTCGCACTTATATCTTACACTTATGTTTGTTTTCTGTTCAACAAATTAGTTGCAGACGAAAATAGTTACAGAGTGAAGAAAATGTCACAAATGAAATTTTTAAGAAGCATTGTTAGTTCATGGATCACTTTTAAATTTTTTTTTCTTTTCAATATGACAATTAGATTTATTAACAAAACGGTATACTAATACAAAAGTAGACCTTCCGGCCTTATGAGATATTACTTATTAATTATTTTAAGCATCAATTGTTTTTGATGTATGCAAGTATGCATATAGTTTTTAAATTTCTGGATGAAATCTATTTCAATATTATTATAAAGAAAAATGTTCTTACTAAAAGCAGTTTAGAATACTAATCACATAAACTTTTAATGCCTTTATTTGTAGATATAGATTAAATTGTTTTTAAGTTCTGCACATTTCCATATAATAACATTAATATCATTCATAACGCACATTAAGCTATCTTAGGCTTATATTACATGCCCACTATCACTTCCATTCGAGTATCGAGGGAGATAATCGAATATAAGTCACAACTACATTAAAACTATGTACAGCAGTGTCTTCTTAAATTCGTCTAATGACCAAAATTACATATCCATTTCAATAAAACGTCAACGTAAACTCAAACTGCATTTACAAATATTACGCATAATGCATGTTGGTATAGTTGGCTGTGAGGTATTACCATTTTCATGCAGCTAACTACACTATACACTATATATGAACACATTTAATGAAGTCGGTAATTGAGGTCAGGCTAGGAACATGCCTCAGTCGCAATCTACATACACTCAAATTCCACTATGATGCCTTTGTACTCGTACTTATTATGCCTCCTTTTAAACGCCAAGCTGACTTATAATTAAAATTTAAATTATGTTAAAATACTATTTTCCTATGTTATTTACTTATTATATATATTTTCGGGACACTTGGTGGGGTTGGTAGGCGCACATCCTCAGCAAATTGGTTTTCACCAACTGCTGAAGTAGAGGCGGTAGGAGTATTTCATGCATTAATTAAAAATATAAAATGAGTATAAATTAAATACTGCACCAAAATAAACGGAAAGGATATTAACGGTAAGATGGGCTTAATTATATTAAAATGTATATACATATATATATATACACACACCTATGAAAGCTACATTAAAATGCCATTTTTAATATTACTAAAAACAAGTCAGTGACAACAGTAATCGAGTGTATTAAAAATTAATACTACGATATTACAATTACATGTATTAATACAGTGACGTATTCAGGACGGGTTTATATGATGCATTTAACGTTTGGAAGTATATTCTACTGGTAATACAAACCTTATAATTCTCACATATTTTTGTTTTTATATTTAAGTGTATTTAGTATTTAACACAATAGTTACTACGACGCTGTATTAATGTTTTTATAATAAAATATATATGGGTCATTCTTTTACAAACCGGACAGATTTTGGCAAAAAATGACCCTATGATCTCCGATTTAGCTGAAAATTTTTTAAAGAGCTTCTTTCATAAAATAAGAAGACTCGTATCTCGGGAAAAAATTATGTAATTTTTTTTCTAGGAGATATGTACCCATGGGGTTTTGAGAATTGGCATTGTAGACACCTTTTCAAATGGCTGTATCTCAAGCTGTATGAATGATAAAAAATTGAAATCTACTGCGTTTTAAAGATTATTGATTAAGCTTTTAAGCAATTGTTTAAACAGTATTAATAGTATATATTTAATTACTAATATTAACCGTTAAATTTCAAATAAAATTTTTTTTCCAAACACGTCTCCAGAATTTTAATTTTTTATATTTTATTTAGATTTAATTTTAAATTTTACTACGAAATAAAAATTTTCAGGATGGCTTTATTTTTTGAAATTTGTTAATATTTTTTTTTTCTCCCGCAAAACATATCAAGCACATGCGTACTACATATCCATTGAATGAATTTTCAAAGAATATACTACAAATATTCTTATATAATATTTTTGATTTCGATTAATAATAAAATTCTATATAAAACACAAAAATTTCAGGAAGTATTATACTTAAAAATACTTTTCAAAAATTAGTTTATCCTTCACATCACACCAAACACATATGGTACACACGATTTTATAGTAACAAAAAAAAAAAAGAGGAATATGTCACACAAATTTTTAGTTTTTAGTTTTAGTTCAGGTTAACCAATAAATTCTACTTGAAAAATAAATATTTCCAATGTGGTATTGCTCTTAGAAGTAATTAAAAAAAATTAATTTATCAGGCGTTCCCCACGTTACTCATACGCACCGTAACAGTATTAAATTAATTTTTCACAAAAAATAACGCAATAAATTTGTATTTCAGAATTGAATTTATTATTAATTTCTATATAAAAATGAACGTGCTTAGGACGTTATTGTTCTCAGAAGCAGATGGAACTACGAAAACAGAAAAATAAAAAAAATTTCAGCCAAATCGGAGATCATGAGGTCAAAAAGGTGTTTAATTTGTTAAAGAATGACCAATATACTTTTTAACTTCAACTGGTAATATTAGAAACTTTTTACATACCCCAATAGTTTCAATAAATAAATGCAATAATTTTAATTAAACATTCAATTAAATATATTAAATCCCATTTAATTAGTATTATGTACATAACCTTAATCAAAAAGTTTCAGGAGTAACCACTCCTGGCGCTTTTAAGAATAACTACTAGGTAATGCTCTCACACATAGGTTAACATATTAATCGCGAGTTTCTCCAAACATTAACCTTTCTAAAAGTTGAACTATCTAACGTATATTCTAATCCGTATGAGTTTTCGATTTAATCTAATTTAAAAAATGGATCCAAATGTGTGCAATAACGAGTTTCTATTAAATTTAGTGTAAAAACTGATTTGATATTGCGAAGACAATACTTTATCAAAAACAAATGTTTATATATGGTCCCAAAGCATTAAAGAAGTCGTTAATCTGTTGAGAATAACGAACGTAGTAAAATGTGATTGACATCGAAAACCGACAAAAAAAGATTGAGAAAATCAAAAAAAAGTTGACTGAAAATCGCAAAGAAATTATTAGAAAACTGACCCTAGACTTGAACATTGTTTGTGGATCTGTCTCATGTATTTTACCTAAATGTTTTGTTCCCAAAAATTTCGCTGCTGTCGAAAGATCCAACGTTAATTTTGACGCGTTGATATCGTGACAAAACATGATTTCTGCAACTTAATCCAACCCAACATTCAATGGACGCGTATTTATAAAAGACAAGATATAGATTGATAAGTACTACATGCAATCAAGACCACAAGCAAGTGGATGGCATTCACCGAATGAGGCAAGACCATTTTCAGCTGAAAAACGAGGCGATTGGTTACTATTTTTATGGATTCCAGGGTAGAAACGATCGTGCACACGAGGGAGCTTGTGTTTAGTCCGTGCAAACTAAACATACCACTATTGTGACGATATAGTGACGATGTATTAAACATTTTACACACCTCCTCTTCGCTTAAAGAAAAAAGCATGTACACATCGGTTGGTTCTTAAATATTAAAAGTGGACGCATTACTCAGATGCTTCCAGAATTATTAAATGTTACCAAACTGCATGTGAGTACG